ACTATTTTTTTCATATTTTATATTTTTCACATTTTAATATCTTAAAAAAAATAATAAAAATTGTACTATTTTAGAAATATTGGTGGATTTGAGAGAAGCAGTTTTACAAGTTGCTAGACATTTTACAAATGTCGACCAAAAAATAAATAACATTGCACTTATAGCAGATTATAGTATGGAAAGTCATGCAAAAGATCATGATAATTATGTTAATGTATCACGTACTAGAAAAAGAAGAGCTAAAGCGTTGTTAGGTATTTTTAAACATAGTTAAATTATGATAAAATTTTTAATTCTACATTATTTATTTTTGTAACTAAGTCACCATATTGCAGATTTTGAAAGACATGATGATGATGAATTAGGTTTCCGAAAGAATGATATAATCACGATTATAAGTCAGAGAGACGAACATTGCTGGGTAGGTGAACTCAATGGATTGAGAGGATGGTTCCCAGCAAAGTTTGTAGAATTATTAGATGAAAGAAGCAAACAATATACATGCGCTGGAGATGATGCTGTTAGTGAAGCTGTTACTGATTTAGTCAGAGGAACTTTATGTCCTGCTATAAAAGCAGTATTAGAAAATGGAATGCGTAGACCATCGTTTTTAGGTGGTCCATGCCATCCATGGCTCTTTATTGAGGAAGCCTCAAACAGAGAAGTGGAAAAAGATTTTAATTCTGTTTACAGCAGATTAGTACTTTGTAAAACATACAGGTTAGATGAAGATGGTAAAGTTCTTACACCAGAAGAGGTAATGCTGTTTGCATTTTTATAATAAATTATTTTATTAAAATATATATACGACATAATTTTTATCTCGGTCTCATTTTATTTCAGTTATTATATCGATGCGTTCAATCGGTAAATTTAACGCATGATAATGCACATGCACAAATGGACGTAAAATTACGATCCCTCATTTGTTTAGGATTAAATGAACAAGTGTTACATTTATGGCTTGAAGTTTTATGTTCTTGTGTAGAAGTTGTACAAAAATGGTACTACATATTGTATAAAATAATTATTACACTAATTTATACATAATTTACATATCAATTTACACGTTACTAATTTTATAGGTATCAACCATGGAGCTTTATAAACAGTCCTGGCTGGGTACAAATTAAATGTGAATTAAGAATATTAAGTCAATTTGCATTTAATTTAAATCCGGATTGGGAATTGCCACCCAAAAAGGAACAGTCGCAACCTTTAAAAGATGGTGTTCGCGATATGTTAGTAAAACATCATTTATTTAGTTGGGATCTTTAGCGCATGATACCAAAAAAAGTAATAATTTTTATATCAAACTTATTACGTATGTTATATGCAACGGTAACGGAAGGTAATTGCGTAGTACAAATCAATTGCTTTTATATGTTCTAAAATATCTACTGTGTGCGTGTGTGAGTGTATGTATGTCATAAGTATACAATAATGTAATGTCCACTTCTATATTTTTATCTATTAATGTAAATTATTTAAATTTTATTGTTCATCACAAACAAATTTCAATAATCAAGTTATCATGTTATCGTGATTATTAATGGCAAGTAAAAATGAAGTGTATATACATATGTTACGTACTACTGTTAATTCTATCTGGAAACAATTCGTTAAATGGATAAATCTATCACATATTATATTATAATCGATGCAATAAGTATTGTATTTTGTACTTTGCATGCACATATTATTTATTTAAGTTTACGTTTCGATGTATAAAAATATTTTTGAACTATAAAATTTTTAATTTTCACTAAATTTGTATATAACATACATAATTTTATATTTTACAAGATATGTCATATTGGAAGTTCTTTATCCTTCAAAAGATTTTTCGGTGGAAATTTTCTATCTCTGCGACAACAAGGATCAGCCAAATTATCATCAATAATTTTTATATTAAGTCGATCATCTTTTTCTTTGACCAAAAGTGATGGTCTATACAAAAATTTATCCCATTTGAAAAGATCTCGTTTATACAAATTTCTATACTTTTCAATAGTTGAAGGATCAATATATAAATCGTGCATGTCTAAAGGATTTTCAAATACTTCTTTTTCAAAATCTATTTTGCAGTCACAGTTACGTTTTTTTATATAAATAAAGTGTAAATCCATAACATTAGTTCCAGTAAAGCCAGTTTTGAATAAATCCGCACCTTTTTTAAATCGAGAGTACAAATTGTATGTATCATTTTCTTTTAAAGAATTTTCGGGTAACATACGTTCCACTTCCATTGTTCGATATATAAATGGAAGTATATTTTCCATATCACCTTCTGCTGCTTCATCTTTACCCAAAGCAAGTTCTTCCTCTATTTCATTTTGAACTTTATCTTGCTTATCTACTTTTTTAGTTGTTAAATAACCACTTAGTTCTTGCATTTTGCATATTTCTTCATGTTGCTGTTGCTTTATGTCATACTGTTCCTGTTCTTCTTTCTTTTTTCTAATGGCCTCCTTTTTCTCCTCTTCTCGAACTATCACTTTTGATGCTATAGATTTCACTAATGCATGTAAATCATGAATCATTGGACCAATAGCAGGATAACCAAATGCTCCTGTTGCATCAGTTGGACCATCTTGACCATCTGTTCCTGCACTTAACATTATTACGTCATATTCCGAAAACCGAGGATAACTTTTGATTTTTGCCAACCAATCTAAGGAAAAATGTAGTGCTAATTCTTGATTTCTACCACCTTTTCCTTTTCCTTTAACTACAACTGTTGGCTCTCCTCCTCCAATCAATACCAATCCCTCTTCACTAACATTATCAATCAAATTAAAAATTTCATCCACCTTAGGAGCAGATAATGAAAGTATAGGGATATCCTTTACTTTTTCAAAAAATTCCTCCTTTTCTAATGTTTTATCTAATGCTAGGCATACTAAACTTGTTATATGAACATATGCTAAACTGACATCATGTACATCACCTACAACATCTGGTCTTAATATTATTGGAGTAAGCTTGTTGCGATATGCTTCTGAAGAAGCTGCTTCAATTGCTACAACATTATTTCCCAAAATAACATTAGATACATGTTTAAATTCTTTTCTTCGAGTCAGCATTGGTTTATCCTTAAAAGTTTCCTTGGCTATCAAAACTTTTTTCACATCACCTTCTACATGATTATACAATTCATATTTTTTTAATATGTCTATTACATCTTTTGGTCTTTTATTACTGTACACTAATGGACCACTTGCAATTAAATTTAGGGGATCACCTACAATATCAGACAATATCAAACTGACAACAGAAGCTGGGTAAGCCATTCGAGCCAAACCACCACCTTTTACCATAGATAATTTGCTTCTGACTGTATTAAGTTCTTTAATATCAGCTCCTGCATTTTGAAGCATTTTACAGAGATGCAGTTTATCATCACGATCAATTACTGGTCTTGGCATATAAAGTAATGCAGAACCACCACCTGATATCAATACAATTAAAGAATCATTTTCTGTCAGATCTTCTACTAAATCTATGATTTTATGTGTTGTTTCTAGACTTCTATCATCTGGTTGATTATTCTCACCACCTTCATAATATGTTACTGCACTAGTTCCTAATTTAGGAAAATATGATTTGTCTTCAGACTCCCACATTGCTTCTGCTGATGCAGAAGGAATGCTAACTATACCCTTCTTTAAATAATCCCCAAGCATATGCTCAAGAACAAGTGCCATACCCATAACAGCTTTGCCAAAACCAATTAAATAAACATTTTCTTTAAGTTCAAAACTTTCATCTCCAACATATAACACTTTATTTTTAAACTTAACTTTATTCACTACCAGAGTTTTTGGTGAAACTGCATGAACACCAGCAAAATACATCTTTTTTAATATAGATTTAGATTTTTCCAGAGATTTTATATCCGTAGACATTTTTTTATTTGTAAATTTTACGAAGTTTAATAGGTTAGATTTAAAAAAAACTGGGTTACTGAAACAGCGTCAAACAAAACAATAAATACATTACAGTACTTGCATTATTAGAAACAATTATTAAAACACTTGCCTGTATCGTGAGAATTTATGTAATATTCTCTTATAGCACATCTCTATGTCACTACCAATATAACCATTTTTACGAAGCAAGACTTATCCGATAAGTTCAATAAAAATTATCCTTTTTATTTACAAACTCTTCCAGATACAATTTGCGCATGTTAGATGTAACATAGTAACTTCGAACTGGATGTTATTATTAATCAAGTTCTACATAAGATGCATTTGTGATACAAAACTGAAATATGTGTATATGTAATTAGCAAATATACACATAATACAAATATATAATTGTGTAGCATTCTTAATACTTAGAAATTTATAAATTAAAAATATATGCTGTAGGTTTTATCTGTAATTGCGTATCATGCATATATATACATGTACATATATATAGATTTTACAAAAAAAATTACGTTTATCACAAATTATAAAATGTATAAAGTTAAAGTGCAGTACATTTTCATAAATCTATTACCAATACTTAAGAATATTGCAAGGTTTAATACTTTATTAAATAATTATTAATTATGAATACGCGAAAGCTTCAAATACTGTCTCGTTTATGATTAACATTGAATCCCAAGAGACATTCCTCCGTTTTCATTTTGTGGCTCTTAAAAGAGCCGTTTTGTTTTGCGCCATAGCAAAAAAATTTAACCACCAAATCCGTAGAGTGTTCTTCCTTGACGCTTTAGAGCGTAAACCACATCCATAGCAGTTACGGTTTTCCTCTTCGCGTGTTCGGTGTATGTAACAGCATCACGGATGACGTTTTCCAGAAATACCTTAAGTACTCCTCGAGTTTCTTCGTAAATTAAACCAGAAATTCTCTTCACACCACCACGTCTTGCCAATCGTCTAATTGCAGGTTTGGTGATACCTTGAATATTATCACGAAGAACCTTCCTATGCCTCTTCGCTCCTCCCTTTCCCAAACCCTTTCCTCCCTTTCCACGACCAGTCATGATAAGAACGCTTCTTCGTAAACAGAACTTGGATAACCCAAAATGAGTACTCCGTGGAGTGATGCGCGATGTTATGTATCGGAGCAGTCTCAATAGGGGTTCCCCCACCTCTTTGCTGCTGACCAATTACAGTCGTCCTTTACCGTAACCGTCGCTCAAGTGGCTCAAGAGTATCCCCTCCATGGTTAGCAATGAAAGGCACCTATTGTTAAACCGTAACGGACATCTGCTGACCATCTGTTCATGGACCAATCAGGGATAGCATAACCCTTTGCTAACGCATTTATAAAAGGAGGACGTTGGCGGTGGGATTTAAACTACGAGAAACTTTTGAAGAGAACGTTTCTGTTACAATAGTTGTCGCCATGGCACGAACCAAGCAAACTGCTCGTAAGTCTACTGGTGGTAAAGCTCCCCGTAAACAATTGGCTACAAAGGCTGCACGTAAGAGTGCTCCTGCAACTGGAGGCGTGAAGAAACCTCATCGTTATAGGCCTGGTACTGTAGCGCTTCGAGAAATTCGTCGTTATCAGAAGAGTACCGAACTGTTAATCCGAAAATTACCATTCCAACGACTTGTTCGAGAAATCGCACAAGATTTCAAAACGGATCTTCGTTTCCAAAGTTCAGCGGTAATGGCTCTTCAAGAAGCTAGCGAAGCTTACCTGGTTGGTCTGTTCGAAGACACGAATTTGTGTGCTATTCATGCTAAACGTGTTACCATCATGCCGAAAGATATCCAACTGGCTCGTCGTATTCGTGGAGAGCGTGCTTAACTGATTATCTCAGTAGTCAAACGGCCCTTTTTAGGGCCAACACAAAATAAAATGAAGGAATATTCTGATTCACTAAATTTAACAAGAGAATAGTTTCGAAGATTATATTTCAAGATTAGTCATTTTTACATTGATTATTTATATATAAATAACGAAGCTTATGCTCCAATTTTAATTGTCGAAGTTTCTGAAAACTTATAGTAAGTGAGTTACTGTCTTCTACGAATATTTGTAGCTAATATAAAAGTTTCGAAACTCTTGTCAGAATTGAAGAAAGAGTTCTTATTAATATTTATTGAAGTATCAACGTTAGCGGTATTTTCTATACTTTACATTCTTTGCAAAGTTCGTACTAATTAGCAAAAAAATTCAAATTTTAGTTTCAATCCAATACAATTTATAGTGCAATTATGGTTCAAGTTACATAGAATTTCAAAATCCATTTTCTCACGCGATAGGGTCTGACTGTTCTTTGTTAGCATTTGGGGCCTGTTGCATGCCAGATGGCTTCCAGCTGCCAGTTCCCCTCTGTAAGGGACATAAAAGTCCCCATTGTTATACAGACCGCGCAGTATACATTGACCAGACGATCTTTAAGAAAAAGATCAGAATTCAAAAGTAAGATGTGTAAAGCGTCAGTGAAATAAAATTGTTATTTAAAATAAATATAAAACTTATAATTTAATCCTGGAATTGTTCATTGAGATAGTTTTGTAACCTCAAAAAAATTTTGGAATATAGAAAGACTATACCTGACTTCTAAAAATTTTTTAATACGATAGATCAGAAAAACTATAAGTGATATTTCAACTGACTCCTGAACAACCAATCATAAGGTCTCAAAAGAAAATGAAATACTACGAAGCCTTTGTATGAACAATATGGTGAACGTAGTACAATTTGTGCCATTATATAAATGTTCGATATTGTGCATACCTTTATGCATTGCCTTTTAGTTTTGAGATATTCTATAGATTAAATTTAGAAAACCTGCATAACTTTCAGTCGTTACTAAAATACCAACAAATGCTTAAATCTACATATGTTGTAGACAAGATCTAAAGATTATAAATCAATATTTTACAATTCTTCAATAAGTAGTTTAGAAAATAAAAACATAAAAGAAATTCCTTCGTTTTTTAGTTATTTTGTGGCCCTGAAAAGGGCCAGTGATTTAGCAATTTAAGTCTTCTTGTCTGTCTTCTTTGGCAAGAGTGCCGCTTGAATATTCGGTAGAACGCCTCCTTGACTAATAGTGACTCCAACTAATAGCTTATTCAATTCTTCGTCATTGCGAACAGCAAGTTGCACATGTCGTGGAATGATCCTCGATCTTTTATTATCTCGTGCTGCATTACCAGTTAATTCCATAACTTCAGCGGCTAGGTATTCCATAACTGCTGCCAGATAAACAGGAGCGCCGGCACCAACACGTTCCGCAAAATTGCCTTTTCTCAGAAGTCTATGAATACGACTGACAGGAAAATGGAGACCTGCTCTAGCCGAACGGGATTTTCCCTTGACCCTTGATTTTCCACTTTTACCACGACTGGACATCTTAAAGATGTTGTAAAAGAGTAAAAGACTGCACCACAGGAAATGTTCGAAGCGAAGGATGTGGAGAGAATGAGCTCCAAACGGGTCGAGCCTGCTTATATACAGTATGGTAGAGCTACAACTGACCAATAGCTGACGAGAAACGTTCTCATTGGTTCGGAAGAACAATTATTTGATGTTCCAACATTTTACATTATTTATTTACATAAATAAGTTTACAGGTTTTTTGGAAATTTTTCTGCACGAACATGCATGGTTTTCACCTAAATATCTTCAAAATACTTAACGTCTCTTAAATTTTTTCGGAACATAAGGAGAGCTTACCCCAGGTGGCTCTCCACAATTTTCAGGTTGAAGCAATAAAAAAATAAAATTTTATTTGTATATTATCTTTATCCTAGTTATTTAATTTTATTCGATGTGATAATGCAAGACAGCATTTCTCATGTCAATTGAATAAAAATTTCAGCATTTGTTTAGTAAAATGTATTTCATATGAAATATTTATTCTTTTGTTATAAATAAAATTACATTTATTAGAATGCTTGTAGAAGTATTCTTATCTCAAATTATGTATTCCAAATTAGAAATATGAGATGCATAGCTTAATTGTTTAGCAAATCATTTTGCGTGATCGCAAGTAGCTTTGCATATCACACTTGATGTACTTGAAGTCGAAGGACCATCTAAATTTTTAAGTTTTGGGAAACTATTTTATTTTTGTACTTTACACTTACATATGTACAGTAGAGGATCGTTTCCTCTATTAATTCACGTTGATTCTTATAAATGCAAAATACTCGTTGCAAATTGCGTGAAAAACCGTTTTCTTCTCGATGTAAATTTATTTCACAACCAATACCCCACGTAACGAAGCCCGGAAAAACTAGCTGAAAAAATCTGTGTCGATTTCTGCGCAAAGTATTCCTTTTTTCACAAAGATCAATCACCCCGTGAATTTGTTTTTAAGTATTTGCCTTAATTTGACAATTATTGATCTAGCCATTCATCTGACCCGCAGAACTTCTGCTTCCATAACACAATTTCTAGACCCTGACTATTAATTCAAACGATCGACTGTAGTAAAAATCATTTTAATTAAAATATCTTCAAAAATAATTACTAGCATCCGTGTTGTAAAACCAACCGCCTTAACGACCTTTGGTTAAGCCAAATTTAAAAAGGCTTAAGGTTAAAAAAAACTTGTAAGAGCTTCAAAACAATAGTTTGAAAAATATACAAAAAGAATAGTCACAAAAAATAGTATAAAAAATGCCAAATATTATGTAAAATACTTGTAAAGACAAAGGGTGATTACTTCACCAATGATACAGTTAGTTAGATATATATAACATCTTTTTTTTCTTTTTATACCTTACGTTTTATAACATTCAAATTATTATAACTTACTTTGATATTTGTTGTGCCCACACATATAAAATAATAAAAATAAAGCATTAACCTAATAATAAGAGTAAAAATTTAAAAACATTTTTCTCATTAGCACGTGTACTCAACAAGCGTATATTGGAAATGTTTGAGGTTAGATGTAGCACTGTGTAATTCTGACATGTGGTTGAGTTTGTGTTGTTCGGATTCGAGATGTTTTTTTATGGTTCATTGAAGCAATTTAAAAGTATTTGTATCTGGAGTGTATTAACATTTAGATATAGAGATAATTGTTTTGATTTTAACGTTATCTGTAACTTACAATTAGTCTTAACATTTATGACAAAAAGCAAAAACTTCATTGCAAAGAACTATTTTCTCTTAGTACTTTTTTAATTCAAATTATTTATAATGTAACATCATATATTAAAAACGCTGTATAATTTAGGATATATTTTAAATATTATGTTATTGTATTTAGAAAATAACTGCTCATTAGTTATGGTTATATTGCCATAAATATCTCGTGGAATCAACTTTCATTGCAGAAAACAATTCTTAGATTACAAATACAGGGAAACATACATTAAAAATTCATAATAACAGTAATATTTTTTCTTCGTTGCACTGTATAAATATACACACTTATTTAATTACATAATATGCTATCAACAAATGAAATATTTTAATAACAGGAATGAAAGATAATATTATTTTTAAACACTCTTTACAAATTAAAAATATTTTTTTAATATTTTTGATATATTGTTAAAGTAATTTGTTTATTAGTGCATAAATTCCTTTATCTCGTAAATATACGTTGTTAGTACAATTCTTATCGTAAGTAATAAATATAAAAGCGATACAAGTTTTTAATAGATCTTATATTTTACATTTATTTAATACATTGAATTTAAAACAAAATATATGTATGTATATGTTTTTTATACAATTTTTACACCGACATATATAATATTAATTATTTTATCATTTTAAATAGAATGAAAGATAATATTATTTTTAAACACTCTTTACAAATTAAAAATATTTTTTTAATATTTTTGATATATTGTTAAAGTAATTTGTTTATTAGTGCATAAATTCCTTTATCTCGTAAATATACGTTGTTAGTACAATTCTTATCGTAAGTAATAAATATAAAAGCGATACAAGTTTTTAATAGATCTTATATTTTACATTTATTTAATACATTGAATTTAAAACAAAATATATGTATGTATATGTTTTTTATACAATTTTTACACCGACATATATAATATTATATATTTTATCTTTTTACATACATTTGTCAAATTGTATATTATATAAACGCGCAATGTAATTTATAAACTTTCGGTTTATAAAGAAAACCTTGAACATTTCTTAGATGTGTTATACACACAAAATCAATTGCATTGTGAGAATGCAACGGTAGCAATGATAGCTCTGCCCGTACCAATCACAATCGAGGAAACCGGCAAAAGGGTTACGCTGAGTTCTGATTGGTTCGGCGTAGGCTACCGTTGAGTACATAAATACAACATCCTACCGCCGTATCATCATCATTCAACACTTATCCAGTACACGATACGCTTGTATTCAACTGCGAAGTTTGAAGATATTTAACTTTCACCATGCCGCCAAAAGTTAGTGGTAAAGCCGTAAAGAAAGCTGGTAAAGCTCAAAAAAATATTAGTAAAACTGATAAGAAGAAGAAGAGGAAGAGGAAGGAAAGCTACGCTATTTACATCTATAAAGTGCTCAAGCAAGTCCATCCTGACACTGGAATTTCAAGTAAAGCTATGAGTATCATGAACAGCTTTGTCAACGACGTTTTTGAGCGCATTGCAGCAGAAGCTTCAAGATTGGCGCACTACAACAAGCGTTCAACCATCACTTCTCGTGAAATCCAAACTGCAGTAAGACTTTTGCTACCTGGTGAATTGGCAAAACACGCAGTTAGTGAAGGTACCAAAGCGGTCACCAAATATACCAGTTCGAAATAAGCTGATACAATCTACTGCTCCAAAAAATCGGTCCTTTTCAGGACCAACAAATATTAATCACGTGGGGAACACATATTCAGATTTACCTATGCAATATAGTACATACCTATTATAATTCAACAATTTCCAACCATTTTACTCCTACTTATTTTCGCAGAAATAAATTTAATATTAAATGTATTTTTTCATATATAAAAATTTCGGGTTAAAAAATTAGGTACTGTCTACATTAAGCCTATTACAATATAAAAAAATGTTTTATTTAGCTTTACTTTTTAAATATTCAAATACTGTACTGGAAAAGTTTAAATGAATAGAAAGATAGTTAATTTTATATGTACATACATTTATAACATTTTAATATAAAAATTTAAACTTTTATTAATTGGATGATATTTCTTATCCTCAACTTTCTATAAAAGAAAAGTAAAACAAATGGTTACTGAACATAATAAAATTAAGTTATTTTTATGTAGTTAATCGAAGAAAATGGCAAAATCGTGAAACGTCGAATTACGGCGTTGATTTATATGCTGATGTAGTAACATGCACACCATTTTACGCGTTTTAATAATAAATTTAATAAATAAAATTAGTTATATTTCTTGTGGCCTTGAAAAGTGTTACGAGCCCTTATTTTCTCACGTTTCTAGCAGTTCGTTTGTCTAGACACTCGAAATACATATACCCTACGACATCGTTATACTTCTGTCAACTGTATTTTATTACTATTAGAATATAAGAATATTAAGTTGATAAGTATAACATAATCGTATTCATATATGAAACAATCATATTTAGTTAAAACTAATCAATTATTTTATCTAAAGATTAAAAGTAATTCAATTTTCACTCATGTTTCATTTTCTTTTACAGTTGAATATTTTGCGCACTTTTCTTGACAGGTGTGAAGTTAAATGTGATACGCATTTTATTTTCAACTAAATTATAATTAAATTTTAGGTTTTTAAAACGCGTGTATACCAATAACTTTCTATGATACTATGCTACTTGTGTAAGATGGAAACGTTGTGATTACCGCTATAAAGGTAGGAGCGGGATTATTTAGAGTTATTCACTTGTACCTTTATATATAAGAATTTTAGATAGCCTGATATTTGGTTCGGCAATTAATTTGTGGAAATCTTATTATTAATCAGTGACAAGATAATATATTTGTGGTAAACTGTAAACATGTCTGACGAGAAGAAGGTAACGCTTTATAACCTCAAAATTAATATAATGATAAGTGACGATTCAGTAGCATCCTTTGTTACAGGAAACTAAAGCAGAATCGGAACATATAAATTTAAAAGTATTGGGACAAGATAGTGCAGTGGTTCAGTTTAAAATTAAAAAGCACACACCACTCAGGAAATTAATGAATGCCTACTGTGATCGTGTGGTAATTTTATGTGATTAATTTATTATTATGAATTATTACTAGATAATTTAAAGTTACATCATCTTTTAATAATAGAATACTTTATACTTCATATATAATTTTTTATCTTACATATGAAATAAAAATTTAGAATTAATATCTTTATAGTAGTAAACTTATATTTTGGTAGGGCTTGGCGATAGCAGCAGTGAGATTTAGATTTGATGGACAACCCATAAATGAATTAGATACACCAACAACTCTTGAAATGGAAGAAGGAGATACAATAGAGGTTTATCAGCAACAGACAGGAGGAGGATTGTGTTGAGATTTAAGATTGTCCTTCAATAGTTTAAAAATGGACTTGATAAAAAATTTCTGTTCCAGTGCTTACTTCAAAAAGGAGGCATGAATTATTTTCTATTTTTTCTGATACAACAAAATATTTAATTTCATAATGTAATGTGGGAAAGTTGTTTACACTTTTTATATACATCAACCAAGATCTAAATACAGTTCAATTAGCATGTTCGTTTTATCTAAAAAATAATTCCTTTTACATACTTTTAATCTTTTTTAATATGGTAAAATAATAACTTAAGGATTTATAGTTTTTCGCACTGTATTATTATTCAAAGAGTTTCATTATTTCATCTGTTTACAACAATAGAACATTTTGTTATTCTTTTAATGTGACATTTCAGTTTGATAATTTGCATAAAGATATTGTGAAACAAGCTTACTGCTATGTTATTGTTAGTGATATACATTGTAAATGAAGACACATTAGTTGTCTCTTCAGCATTTTGCACTATGTAGAAAACATGTCTACATTGTATAACCACATATTACTTACAAGATATAAGATTCTTTGTAAATGATTTTCACAAAAAAAGAAATTATAATGTAAAATTTCAGATTCTCTTAATAAATTTTATCGTTTTAGGTACGTTCATTTCTTATGACAATGTACAGATAAGAAAATGACAAAGAGCATATTAAAAAATTATGTTAATATTTAATAATGTAACTACTTTTAACAGATTCATAAAGGTTCATTTATGTTTTATAATTCAACTTTAGTATTAACATTACTCTTACTTTCCATGAAAATAATATTACTTTGTATATGAACAAAAAATAAATTGTGTCTTATCTTTTCTACAAGAAATCGTTCATTTTTAATCATGTAATTTTTCTTTCATGGTAAATATTTGTAAGATAAAATTTTTACTTAATAGTGTAGCATTGTCACAGACGAGTTACAGAATAAACCCATCATATGGGACTTTATGTCGAACGTTCTGAAATACCGATCGTGTAAAAAAACCAAAGGTTTTGTTATGCCCTCTACGATAATAGAGCGGCGAGTTTAAATAGGAATTATATACAATCCAACCATCAAAAGTGGTAAAGTCGACAGACTTAAAAAATTCTGTTTCGTTTTAAATCCTCATATAAAGATATTTACATGTTTTGGATTGTGTAGGTAGAATTTTGACGATCTCTTTACAGCAATAGAACACGTGTATTGGATAAATCATCAGCTAATGAAAAATTATGTTCTTATATTTTTTATTACAGTATAATGAGAATATTATCAATTCATGAGATTTTGTTGATGACACTGAATCTAAATATGATTTTATTAAAACTGCTTCTAGTTAGATATATTGTCATAATACCATTGTAAAATTTATTGTTCATATGATATAATCCGCAATTTATTGGTGATTTCATGAAGATCGAATGAAAACTATAAACATCTGTTATTGAGTGGATGGTAAACCATAAACCGTACTCCTCTAGTTTGCAGACGGTCCGCGAGCTTGAAAATTAAAGTATAAAAAATATAGCAAAAAATAGCACGAGATTTTTACAGAATCCAAGAAACTGAACTCGAACTACAAGATGACGGTAAAACTATGATCAATCAGCATCAACCTATATAGTTTTACTCTAAAAACTAAAATACATACTGTCAAAAATTGGCTATCTTTGAGTATATCTACTCTGAAGTGTCATCAAAATTTTTTAATCTACCTGTGTAGATTAACTGAAGTAAGTACTATGTACCATCCTCTACAAAATCCATGACATGTAAAGTACAAGTAAAGCATTTTCAAGTACTGTAACTATAGAGTAATTAGTGTTTCTTGTTAAATAACAATTTAGATGGCTGTTTATAATTATTGTAAGTCTTAAATAAAATTATTGTATGCTTTAACTTAATAAAACAACTTAATATATTAATTCTGCTTTGAATTAACCATTGCATTCAGTAGATTAGTCAGAAATTGTTTATAACTTTTATTAAAAATTAGAAAAATTTATATTCTTTTTGTATGAATTGCGGATGGACCTTCCAGGACGTTATTTCATTTTCGAAATTTTTGTCCAATTTTCGACATTTTCGCTCAAATTTCGGAATATTTTTACGCATTCCTAGCTGTTTTCGGACTTAGTTTATTTAATTTTACAATGGAATATTGTTTAAACAATTAGTTTTCTGTAAGAGCATGTGGACGTGGTTTGTAAGGGAGAAATAAATATACTGTAAAATATTGTAAAACAGTGATGGTATATTGTCACCATTTGTAAAAACAAAAATACATTAACTGGTCTATCCTGTACCTCGTATATGATTCTAAGCTATTCATACTGCATAATTTTTATTATTTTGTTTTCTTTTTTTTATTTCAATGTGTAGTAGAAAACCTGAGTGATTAATGTAGAAGTTTTTGGTTGATTTGTGTTATTAATTTTCGTGTAATTCTTATTGGAAGATGATGATGTACCATCGGTAATTGTGCTTATCACGACAGATAACTTCGTCGAGGTGTTTAGCAATACTGAAATGAGTAAGACAAGGAAAGGAGTAGGTTAGACAAGGATAGAGAATTTTTTAAACAGAATTAACACCATCTCGCGTCTGGTGATCTGAACTACGACTTTTTAATAGGAACACAGGATATAAACAGAGGTATTAGACAAGGAAAGCACTAATGTGCGAGCAGGACAGAGAGAGAACGTTTCCTATTGGTCCGCGGGCCGTAATGGCCGCCTCTCAGACGTTACATAAAGTCGGCGAGAGAAAAATCATTAATAGCTCATTATTTACGATGAATTTGTGAACTTTTAGGATTAAAGAATGAAGTATGGACCTTTAGCAACTTTCACATATAGATTTTATTATAATAAATCCTTTCAGTAATTAGTTATTAACAATTTTTGTGGGGAGTGTCGGCAACGATACCCACACCCTTCTGGTTTTTCATTAATTTTGCAGTTTTGTACAAATAATTTATGCACTTTCATACATGCGCTCGAAACGTTATTCCTTTAGCTAGTTTCTCGCTAAATTTTCATTAATATATTCGTCGTAATGTGCGAGATATTGAACATTATTTGGATGAGTACTACATTCGTCCCATTCAAGCGTGAAGGATTTCCGTCATTTTCACGAATATGCATGATCAATTTTGCACGTTCAAGCATCTAGAATATAGTACAGACCTTTGCCTATATTCTGCAATGATTTTTAATTACGTACGTGACGTGCTTTATAAAATATTAGCAATTATTTATAAGAGTTGACTATACTCGAGTACGATGAATAGGAGACTCTCTCATATAATATTTAATAACTATTAAATTATAAGAGTTATGTTAATAAAAATTATACAAGAATGTAGCCAAAGGAGTCCTCTTTCAGATTCATGCAATTAATTGTATGAAAAATTGGTAGAAGGCTATGAAATGATTGAAAAACCGTAAAAGTATGCTATATTGTTTCCGACATCCCGCACTATAATTGTTAATAACTAATTATTGAGAGGGTCTATTACACTAAGAACTATATATGAAAGTTGCTGAAGGTCCACACTACATTCTTCAAACTTAAAAGTTCACAAAATCATCCTAATTAATAAGTTATTAATGGTTTTTCCCTGACCGACTTGATACAGCGTGTGGGAGACGGAACATGGCGGCCCGCGGACCAATAGGAAACGTTTTCTCTCTGTCCTTCTCGCACACTAGTGCGTTCCTTGTCTAATACCTCTGTTTACATTCTGTGTTCCGAGTAACGAGTTGTTAGTTCGCGGAGCCAAACACGAGATGGCGTTAGTTTCACTTTAAAAAATTTAATGTATTAAAAAAAGTCTAACACTATTCCTTTTTCTGTCTAAGTCGTTTCTCTAGTGCTATCCTTGTCTACACCTATTCCTTTCCTTGTTTTACTCATATCTGTATTGTTAACTACCTGGACAAGTTATCCTTCGTTGTAAGCACGACTAAATATATTGGATTTGCATGGGTAGAACTGTTCACGATCTTCTAATAGCAGTAGAACACGTGCATGTGATGAATCATCTACTAATAAACAATTACGTTACTTTCTTATTTGTAATTTCATAGTTACGTTTAATTCTAATCCCAATCACTACTAATGTTTTAATTTTATTTTATGCTGAATCAGTAATGTTGAAAGCAACACGAAAATGATAAGGGAACTCGAGAGCTCCCGTGGCATGAACAAAAAGTGTATTGTATGATAGCACAGACGACGTACAGGATAGACCTTACCGTTACCAATTCAGGATAGGAAAAGATTACAACATTAGTAGTGGTTGGAATTGGAATTAAACGTAACTATGAAATTACAAGTAAGAAAGTAACGTAATTATTTATTAGTAGATGATTCATCACATGCGCGTGTTCTACTGTTGTTAGAAGATCGTGAACAAATCTACACACACAATCCAATATAAATATGTATCTTTGTATGCAAATTTAATAAAAGAGGATTTTTTACATCTGTCGATTTTACCATTTTTCATGGCTGGATTATATGTAATTCCTAAACTCACCGCTTTATATCGTAGAGTGCATAGTGAAAACTCTGATTTTTTACACGATCGGTATTTCAGGACGTTAGACACAAAAATACATTAGGTACACCGTCTATCCTGTACCTCGTCTGTGGTGATAGATCTATTCTTTACCTCATCTGTGGCTGTATTGATAATGTAGTTCAGGATCAAATTAATAACTAAAATAAATGTTTTTATTTTTATGAAAATGAATTTACTTTGAGGTCAGTGGATTCAATATATTTTAATTAGTATTATAATGTTTATATTCCAAAAAGTAATCAGTGATTGTTTTAGTTAAAAAAATATGTTTCTGCAAATTTTTCACTAGTTTTTCAGTTTGTTGTATAGTAACATTAAAAGTACTTAATTTGATCTAACATTCCATTTTTAGGGAATTTTTTCTTCATGTGGTATAAAAAACCAAATATATTTCGTCTTCTATAAAATAACAGTTTAGAGAACATGGCGTGCGGTCGCTGAAGAGGTTTATGTAAACGAAACGTTAACGTACAATAATTTTGTTATTAACAGAAACTTGTAAATAATTCATGTATATATATATTAGAATATAATACATTCATATATATAATAGACTGTAAATAAACAAATTTATAACGTACAATATTTAAATATTTTTGTTGTTAGAAACTGTGCAATTGATACGCACTAGCTGTGTATATCTACTGTACATTGAGAAAATCGATAGTTTTTTGTAAAAATTTAACACATTAATACGTTGAATTTTAATTATAAAAAATGGCTGATTCTGAAGAAGAAAACGATAAAGATATAATGTCTGGAATCAATATGACTGGTTTCTTATTTGGAAACATTGATGACAATGGTCAATTAGAAGATGACATTCTTGATCCAGAAGCTAAGCAACATTTAGCTTCACTGAATCGACTTGGGTTAAGTTCATTTATCCGTGAAATGATGCCAAATGAAGATATTACTGAAGAAAATGATAATGAATTTAATGACAAATGTAAAGAAGAAAATGAAACAGTTGATGATACAGATATCAACTATGTTGAAAAATCACCTAGTGCTCTTGATTTTTCTGATATAAATGAATTAGCAGAGGATGAAAAGGAAGATAGTAAGTACAGCAAAAATATAATATACTTAGATTATGTATTCCTATATAAGAGTTAAATTATATGTGCATGCACATTATTTATAAATATATTTATATTGTATATGTACATTATATGTACATGCACACTAAAAATAATTAACTCATTTTTAAATTATCTTAATGAATAGGTAAACAAGATATGCTTGAAGTAAAAGCTGAAAAAGAAAATGCAGATTATGATGCAGATGATGAAGAGGTTGTTAATAAATCTGATACACAATTAATGCCACCTCCTCCAATACCTGAAGAAAAAGAAGCACTTACTGCAGAAGAAGCAGAAGCTGCACGTCAGCGTAAATTAGAAACTCCTCTTGCTTCTATGTTACCATCAAAATATGCCAATGTTGATGTTACTGAATTATTTCCTGATTTTCGAGCTAACAAAGTACTAAGGTTTTCAAGATTGTTTGGTCCAGGGAAGCCTAGTAGTCTTCCACAAATATGGAGAGGTGTTAAAAAGAGACGTAAAAAAAAGAGACATCATGACATTAGAGATTCTGATTCTGGTTCTGATCAAGAAGAAAAGAAACCAAAGTTTAAGGTATGAATAATGATTTAGTTTTAAAATAATAACTTTGGTTTTTTAATTAACAATTTTCATATTAGGGTTGGATAATGCAGTATGGTTCAGACCCAGCTCCAGACATGTGTTGCTCTGATGATGAAAATAAATTGTTAATGCCAGTAGAAGATAAAGAACAAGTTGGTAAAACTGGTGACACTGGAGAAAATGGTGATATGGGACCAAAGGTAGCAGATTGGCGTTTTGGACCTGCACAGCTTTGGTATGATATGCTTCAAGTTCCAGAAACAGGGGATGGGTTTAATTATGGATTTAAACTTGTTGATAAGGTATCTAATTTATATTGTATCAAGTATTATTTGAAAATTATATTTTCATTTTTCAAAGATCAATCTATCTTAGACCATGATATTATTATATTTTTAATAGCTAGATGAATTAAACAATAAAGATATCAGAGATGTCAGAGATGTAAGAGATGTCAGAGATGTCAGAGATGTCAGAGATATCAGAGATTCCAGAGATATCAGAGATGCTAGAGATGTCAGAGATGTTATAGATATCAGAGATTTCAGAGATATCAGAGACGCTAGTGAGGAATTTTCTGATGATGCATTTTTAATGGTGTCACAATTACATTGGGAAGATGATGTTATATGGAATGGTGATGATATAAAGCATAAGGTGTGTAATGTTGTTTTGTTACAAAACAACTTTAACCAACATTCTTGTAGGATAATGCAAGTAGGAATATGAATATTTCTAAAGGTGTTACAGAAATTAAATAGTAAAAATAATGCAGCTGGATGGGTACCATCAAGTGGAAATAGAACTGCTCAAGCATTTAGTCAACCAGGCAAAGGTGCACCTGTACCAGTCGCATCAAATGTCCGATTAGCCACTTCTCAAATTACGACGCCATTACACATGCAGTCTCAAAAAAATAAAATGTAAGAAAAATAGTAATATGAATAAAGGAAATCAACAACAGTCACGGGAAGAAAATTATGACGACACTTGGTATTCGATTTTTCCCGTCGAAAATGAAGAATTAGTATATGGACTTTGGGAAGAAGAAGTAATTTGGGATCCTGAAAATATGAAAAAAATTCCAAAACCTAAAATTCTTACTTTAGATCCAAATGATGAAAATATTGTTCTTGGTATTCCTGATGATATAGATCCAGCTTTGGTTCATAAGGATAACGGACCTCAACCAAAAGTGAAAATACCACATCCACATGTTAAAAAAAGTAAGTTATTGCTAGGAAAAGCTGGCGTAATTAATGTATTGGAAGAAGATACTCCACCACCACCACCCAAATCGCCCGATAGAGATCCATTTAATATTTCGAATGACACGTAAGTTAATTTTTAAATAATAAAACTAATTTTAATTTTTGCAAAATAAAAATCTGACTATTTTCGTTGTTGGTTAGATACTACATGCCGCGATCATCAGAAACGACATTACGATTAAAAGTTGGAGGTGGAAATTTGATACAACATAGTACACCAGTAGTAGAACTACGTGCTCCGTTTGTTCAAACTCATATGGGACCAATGCGGCTTCGAAATTTCCATAGACCTCCTTTAAGGAGATTTAGTCATGGACCACTTGCTCTTCCAGGACCTCATTCTGTCCTGCCATTACTAAAACACATCAAAAAGAAAGCTAAGGTATCCCTTATTTTTTATGATTGTATTTTTTAAGTCGGAATAAGAATTAAATGTCATTTTTGCGCATTAGCAAAGAGAACAAGAAAGAATTGCATCTGGTGGAGGTGATGTCTTTTTCATGAGAACTCCTGAAGACTTAACTGGCAAAGATGGTGAATTAGTACTTATTGAATTTTCTGAAGAACATCCTCCTTTAATGAATCAAGTAGGAATGTGCTCTAAGGTAAAAAATTATTATAAAAGAAAAGCAGGTAAAGATCAAGGACCACAGAAATACAAATATGGTGAAACTGCTTATGCACACACTAGTCCATTCCTTGGAATTCTTACACCTGGACAAAGTATACAAGCAGTTGAAAATAATATGTACAGAGCACCAATTTATGAACATAAAATTCCAGAAACAGACTTCTTAGTTATCAGAACAAGGTATTATAGTGACACTTTTAATTTATATTACTGTTTATTTATTTTAACATAACAGTGCACTATAATAACGTATAATTAATAATTTTCAGACAGCAATACTATATCAGAGAAATGGATGCCTTATTTGTTGCTGGTCAAGAATGCCCATTATATGAAGTACCAGGTCCTAATTCAAAGAGAGCTAATAATTTTGTGAGAGACTTTTTACAAGTATTTATATACAGATTATTTTGGAAGTCTCGAGATACACCTCGACGTATTAAGATGGATGACATTAAGAAAGCATTCCCTTCGCATAGTGAAAGTAGCATTAGGAAACGCTTGAAGTTGTGTGCCGATTTTAAGAGAACAGGTATTCATATATAGTTACAAATTTTCATAAATGTTACACAATGAATTTTCCAAGAAATATTAATAACATTATAACTCTGGCGATTATTAAAATTTCCTACATTAGGAATGGATTCCAATTGGTGGGTCATAAAACCTGACTTCAGATTACCAACGGAAGAAGAAATTCGAGCTATGGTATCTCCAGAACAATGTTGCGCTTATTTCAGTATGATCGCAGCAGAGCAAAGACTAAAAGATGCCGGTTATGGTGAAAAGTTCCTGTTTACTCCTCAAGATGATGACGACGAGGAAATGCAATTAAAAATGGATGATGAAGTTAAAGTTGCACCTTGGAATACGACACGAGCCTACATTCAAGCTATGAAAGGCAAATGCTTATTACAGCTGGCAGGACCAGCAGATCCAACAGGTTGTGGTGAAGGATTTTCTTATGTTCGAGTACCAAATAAACCTACAATTAGTAAGGTAAACATTTGACATATTAATCTTACTCTGAAACATTTTTTTTGTACACATATTTTAACTTACATTTTTTTTATCACTAATTAGGAAGAGCAAGAAGCTCAACCAAAGAGAACCGTAACTGGAACTGATGCTGATTTAAGAAGGTTGTCATTAAATAATGCGAAAGCGTTACTTCGAAAATTTGGTGTGCCTGAAGAAGAAATTAAAAAATTATCACGATGGGAAGTAATTGATGTAGTCAGAACGTTATCTACAGAAAAAGCTAAAGCTGGGGAGGAGGGTATGACAAAATTTTCACGAGGAAACCGATTTTCTATTGCCGAGCATCAAGAGAGATACAAAGAAGAATGTCAACGAATTTTCGATTTACAAAATCGTGTTCTGTCCTCTAACGAAGTTTTAAGTACAGACGAGGGCGAAAGTTCTGAAGAAGATAGTTCAGACATAGAAGAAATGGGTAAAAACATAGAAAACATGCTCTCCAACAAGAAGACTAGTACTCAATTGTCGCTTGAACGAGAAGAACAGCAACGTCATGAATTACGGAAGATGTTAATGGGCGAAGTTCACGAACAGGATAAGAAAAGCAAGGAAAAAAAGAAAGAAGAAGAAGAAGATAGTCCTATAAATAATTACAATTCGCAACAAGGTAGAGTTCTTAAGATTTATCGAACGTTTAGAAACCCAGAGGGAAAAGAATATACAAGAGTGGAACTAGTAAGAAAGCCGGCGGTGATAGATACTTATATAAAGATTAGAAATTCCAAGGATGAGACATTTATTAAACAATTCGCCACTTTGGACGAGGCGCAGAAAGAAGAAATGAAGAGGGAGAAAAGAAGAATTCAAGAACAATTACGCAGAATTAAACGAAATCAAGAAAGAGAACGTATGCTTGGTGGTCCGATGGGAGGAAGTAATGCGTCATCGAGTAACATATTCGACCGTAGTAGTACCAATGCCCCAACCACTACATCCTCCAACAGTATCCTTCCATTTTGTAATTCTTTCCAATCTACCTCTCCTGCTTCTAAACATCCTAAACCCGAAATATCTCCTTCTAAACGTAAGAAACCTAAACTTAAACCAGATCTTAAACTTAAATGTGGTGCTTGCGGTAATGTAGGTCATATGCGTACAAATAAAGCTTGCCCCTTGTATCAAAATAGCATAACTACAGCACCTGTGAACGTTGCGATGACAGAAGAACAAGAGGAAGAAATTGAAAAACAACTTAATACGGATGACCAAGACCTCGTTAATGTAGATGGAACTAAAGTAAAATTATCGTCCAAATTGATTAAGGTAATTAAATGAATCTACTTTAAGAGATTAGTGTTAAAATGATATATTAATTTATACTTTTATTTTCTGTAGCATGCTGAAGAAATGAAGAGGCGTACGTTACTCTTGAAAGTACCTAAGGAGGCAGTGAGCTCTAAAAAACGAAGGAGAGCTACTGGAGACGATCACTGTGATTATCTGAAACGACAACAAAGACCTGCTAACAGACGTAGAACAGATCCTGTTGTTGTCATGTCTACAATGTTAGAAAGTATACTTAATGAAATGCGAGACCTGCCTGATGTTCAGCCTTTCTTATTTCCTGTTAACGCTAAAGTATGTTCTATTTTTCTTTAAAGATTTTACAATTGAAGCATTTGTTTATATATTTCATAATTTCTTTATCAGGCTGTTCCTGATTATCACAAAATTATACAAAGACCTATGGATTTACAAACTATACGTGAAAATTTGAGACTAAAGAAATATCAAAGTCGAGAAGAATTTTTAGCCGACGTCAATCAAATTGTAGAAAATTCAACGTTATATAATGGACCAAAAAGTTCATTAACCGTAGCAGCGAAGCGTATGCTGGAGACTTGTGTAGAAAGACTTGGTGAAAAAGAAGATCGTCTAATGAGATTAGAAAAAGCAATTAATCCTCTATTGGATGATAATGATCAAGTTGCACTTACGTTCATCTTAGACAATGTTGTTAATAATAAATTGAAATCTATGACAGAAGCGTGGCCGTTCTTAAAACCAGTTAACAAAAAATTAGTGAAAGATTATTATAATGTTATTAAAAGACCTATGGATTTAGAAACCATATCTAAAAAGGTGTCTGGTAAGTAGACCTTTATTATTGATGATACTGAAACGTTTCTAATTTTATTATATTCTTTTTTTTCTTTCAGCACATAAATATCATAATCGGCATGAGTTCCTTAGGGATGTAGAACAAATATTGGAAAATTGTACAGTATATAATGGAAAGGACTCTCCATTTACACATAAAGCAGAATTGCTTGTAAAAATTTGTAAGGAAACGTTAGATGAGGTAATTATTGTAATATTTCACGTGTTTACTATATCTTAATTAATCAATATTTCACACTTATAATCAAATGATACTTGACAGTATGATGAACACTTAACACAATTAGAAAATAACATATTGTTGGTACAAAAACGTGCAATGGAACAAGCTGATATTGATCCCTCTTGGCTTGGACCAGATGAAGAGAATTATACTATTGTAGAACCAGAATTTAGAGGGGTATCATTTTATCCATTAAAACATCTTATTTTTCTCTTATACAAAATTTGATAAATTTTATAATTAATAATATATTTTTTACAAATTCCAAATATGGATGACTTTGATTTTGTCGATGTAGAAGGAGATATGGAAGGTGATGGCAGCAGAAGTGCAAACTCGAAGAAAAAGGATGTACTTGAAGAAGGTAAAGCAAATTTCATAATATGCACATGTTTGCTTTATCTAAAGGAAGACGTAATATATATTAACCACTGATCTGTTTTGTTTTAGATTTACAATTCTCTAGTGAGGATGAATTCGACGAGGTTCCATTTGGTACAGATGAACAATCCGAGAATGCTGAGATGGAAACAATTGAATTAAATGAAGTCAGAGAAGGTACAGAAAGTGGAGTAGTATTGGCGGATGATGATAGTCAACAGGCGGCAGAAGCAATGGTTCAATTGGGTAATGTCGGTTTTTATATGGCGGACCAACAATTGCTTCAGCAAGGTTGGTAATTGTGGAATGAAATATTTAGTAGATGTTTTTATAGAATAATCAATTTAAAAGCCGTATCTTTTCTAAATTACAGATGAAAGTATGGATGTTGATCCAAATTATGATCCTTCGGACTTCTTATTAGCTGGTTTACCAGCAAGAGATGAAAAAAGTGAAAATAAGATACAGGATGATCTAGCTGTGTCCGAAAGTGATGATGATGCAGAAAATAATGCAAAACAAAAACAAAAAACATCACAACAATTATCGCAACCGGAGGAGGACGTTGGTGGTGATTTGTGGTTTTAAGAAAATTCATTCTGTTATTTTTTCAAGCAATAATGCTGTTTTATAGTTTATTTAAAAAATCAAAAATTTATTTGTCATAGAAATAATTGAATTTCAATATTTGAAATTATATAAAAGATGTACGTTTTGTTTAAAAGTGATTTTGTAAAAAGTTGGACGAATGTCTCCATTCCTGCAATGTATATTATGAATATTATGTAAACATAGATGTAAATACATAGTGGGAGATTTTCTAAATGTTACGCGTATTTTATCTTTACGCACAGTATAAAACCTGTATTAAATTTATTAAGAAAAAAATAGTCGAATATAAAAAACTGCAAATTCAGTTATATTTGTTTAGAAAATAATTCTAACCAAAATTTTGTTTGTAATATTTTTTACTGTATTAATTTAATATTGCTTAATGATGATTACTGATAAAGAATTAAAGATAAAAATGGATTATGTACATCAAATGTGTTCTGTATCTGCACATATGCCACGCGATCATGAAAAAATGCTTAGCAATATCATAAGTATAACAAAAAATGCGTCATATGAACAACTGGTAACTTATGAACCAAATGCTATTATTATATGCACCCTTAAACTCTTTTTTTATTATAATGGAACATTATCTCACTCTGACAATGTGTGCGAATGGAAACGACGAAGAAAACGTCGACTTGCGAAAGAGGGTTATAATAACTTATTGCAAGTATATATTCCTAAAAAGCCTAAGGAAATTCTTGAAGCTGTGTTTAATATGATTTATGAAGATAAACTTTGGGAATTTGAATCTTTTTGCTTTGAAATCATGCGCAATCTGTTGGAACATGGTGTTGGTGGGTCATTAATGGTTCATACCATATGGAATAAAATTGAAACTCCAAATATACACACAGAGGGTACAAGAAATATCATAAGAATAACATATGAATTGTTAGATGTCTATGATTGGCCAGATACTTACGAAACAGTAGTAGTTATTGAAAGAATTTTAAATCTCTTTTACATTTGTATAAGGACTGCACAAACATCGAATAATTCTGTACAATATGCAATACTCAAGAAGGGTTTAGAAGTCTGTATTATTAACATGGTGAAACATCTGTGCAATGATCATCTTCTTGTTATAGTTCAACATATGTGTTCATGGGTTGTAGAGCAAGGAATGACTGACGAAACTATTTTAGAATTTGGTAGTACACTTGAATATACAGCTTATATGCATGAAATAACATTATATGAAAAAACTCTAACACCAAAGATATTTCCATTATTAATGCAAATGATAGCATCAACAAGTAAAATAACCAGTTTATTAGGCAATAGAGTTATACAGTATCTGCTTGATAGAAAAGAAAATAAAATGAATTTTGATACACCTAAAATATTTTTTAAAGATACTCAATTTGACTTGAAAATAGGTCCATGTTTTAAAGAAGATAAATTGTTCTGCAAGCTTCACAGAGAAATTTTGCATGATAGTCTTCTAAAAAGTATTATAAACCATTGCTCATCACGTATGAATTTGGAAACAACATATTGTACTATTTGTTTGATTGCTGTAGAAGTACCATGTGGATTTACAGCAGCAGCTCTAGTTTGTCTTCTAATGAATTTACAAGATTTAACTTTGAAACAAAGTAAACATCATACTGAAGTATCTTATCATTTACATGCAACAGTGATAGCAGTTATGTCTCTTTTATGTTGGATTCATAAAGCTAAAGTATTTTATGAGTATGTGAATAAAATAATGATGGCTAGAGCACAATGGGCTCCACATTTAAATCCACCTATTCAATCGCAATATAATTTTGCAGCACATCATATCCTTTGGAACAAGCCAGACTTGTTTTTTGTAGATTGGGAAGCACGTTATGGTTTATGGAAATGCTTTCGTTTACGCGAGACTGAAGAAGACATACAAGAAATATGAACATTTACACATTATTACAATACATACGTATTTTAATCAAAAAACAAATTTTAAATAATTATGTAAATCAAAATTCCATGCAACGTTAGATTCCAGAATAAATACAAAAAATTTGTATGAATATTAATAAATGAATTGGATTATCGATACATCTATTTTTTTTTTTACGAGCTTAATTTTCAAGCTGCAGCTTATATGCAAAGTTGTTTATAATCATGAACATATAATCATAAAAACTGAATATACAAGTAACTGTCATCAAAATGGCTGTGTTTCGACATTTATTATATATCGTAATTCACAGTATTACGCATCAAAAAAGGAAGCAATAAAAGTTGATAGTGCATGGCACCACTTCAAATATTTTATTACAGCCTACATTTTTTTAAAGTTTAACAATGTTAGTACCACCGAAAATTTATTTGTAACTAAAAAATGTGATATTTGATTTCAAGCTACTGGCATTCGTTCATCCATTTACGCCACTCTAAACACTTTTTGATTCGTGAAATATTTATTTTATAAACTATAAATTGCAATTTAAAATTAGACATGAACTGTTTGGAAATTGATGAAACATTGCTTTGTTATTTCTTAAGAAGTTTAAAAAAGTGGTGACAATGAAATTAAATCAAGTTTTTTAAACGTAATTCGCAGTACAATAATTGAAATTATATTGTTTATATAACGAACTTCAACTTTGGTGGATTGTTTTCGTTAAACCGTCAAATTACGTTTTAATAAAGGTTAACTTTTAGAATAAATTATAATGTTTATTGTTCCTTTATTATCAGTGTATCCTTTTGAGATAATAATATTATTTTGTTTTTAAAAAGAGTAATTTTTAACAAATCATTAGGTTTTAATTATTTGTTTTTACTGCACACTTAGCACATAAATTTTATTAATTTAAGTAACATTAAAATGAAATGCATTGGTTATTGATAAAAACATTATTGATACATGTAAGTAATAATTTGTATTGTGTATGTTTTTTTTTTAGTCATTCAACTTTCTAAACAAATAATGTCTGGAGAACAGTTTTCATTAGTTTGGAATAGTTTTCCAAGGAATTTGTCTTCTGGATTATATACACTATTAACTGATGAACAACTAGTTGATGTAACGTTAGCTGCAGAGGGTCAAATATTACGTGCACACAAGTTAATATTATCAGTGTGTAGCACATATTTCAGAGAACTATTTAAGGTACATTTTAACATATTTTATATAACTTATTGTTATTCTATAACATTAAAATATTTGTAATAATATATAATATAATAATAATAGGGAAATTCTTGCAAACATCCAATTGTGATTTTAAAAGATGTCAATTATCGTGATTTGTCAGCAATGCTTCATTTTATGTATCAAGGAGAAGTTAATATTAAGCAGGAAGATATTGCTAGTTTCTTAAAAGTAGCAGAAACTTTGCAAATAAAAGGTTTAACCACAGAAACTGAAGAGGTATGTTTAACATGATGTAATACTCTAATTGTACAATATAAAGAATTATTTTTTACTTATAGAAACTTGAAGAGACTTTGACAAAGAATGTACAAAACTTGAATCAAATATTTAATACAGAAAAAAGCAGTATTAATTGTGGTACATCAGATAAAAGTGTTTCCACTTTTGAAAAACAAAGGCAATCTGTACAGAAGGATCAACAATGCCAAAAGCAAGATGTCTTGACTAAAGATGAATCACATAACAGTGAATTTGTAGAGAAGAATACAAATGATAATGATATATGTCAGCAAGATTCTCCTTCTGATCCAGCATATGATATGCCAGATATGCATATGGTACAAAACAATAGTTCTACTGACATAGAGGCACAATGCAATGAAGAGGAGCCACTAGATTGTACAGCTGATATAGGTCATGCAGAATCAGCAAAGCATGAACCCTTGGATTATACCCTTGACATTGATACAGAAGCAGGATACAAAACATATTTGCCTAACGAGTCACTCTATAAACCTGAAGAAAATATGCCAATAAAAGGTATTATTTAAATACTTCTTATTAGGGTAGACATTTAAAAAATTATGTAATTAGTAGGCTGATGACTATAAAGACATCATTTGGAGCTGAAAACGTTTGATGAATGAATGATTATTCCAAAACAAGATGATTAAAATTAGAAAAGGGACTACAGTTACTGGCTGTTTTATCGAGATGCAAAAGATTTGACACACTCAACTGTTTTCGTCGATGGATGTGCAGTTGTACACATTTTTCAGTATATATAGCATAAATTAATTTTATGATAGAATCAATTATACATTTGCATGCTTATTTATTGGGTGTTTCAAATCTAAATTTTTTAATGCTATAAGATTACATATTTTATGGAAAAGAAAATGGTTGAAATGAATAATATTTGTATTTTGCAGATTTTGTACCAGATATGCAATTAGTTCCCTATAATCAGAATATCCAAACTCAACCATTTGGTAAGTTTTTGATTTTTACACTTTTGTTTCAATAATTTATTTATTATATTTACAACATTAATTTTGCATATTTTTATATATTTTCAAAGTAGTTTATTTATTTTTATTTAACATTAAATTGTTGTAATTATTATTAGTATTTTATTTATTCGTTAGGTTTAAGTAACATGACTGGTTTTGAAAGTGAGTTTGCGTACGAAACTGGTTGTCATAGTAAAGGTCGACGAACTGTTAAAGGTATTTCCAACAATAGTCTACCGTTGGAAACAACGCTGCGCGTTGTATCTGAACTGGGACCAACTTTACGTATGGAAAGAGGCAAGGTTATTCGAATGTATTCATGTCCATGGTGTCTTCGTCATTTCACGCGTAAGGAGAATCTCAAATTACACGTTCGATATATTCACGGCCCGCTTGAAAGTTTAACGTGTAAACTTTGTGGTAATAAATATAAGAACAGCAATAGTCTACGTGTACATTCGTATCTCTATCATAATGCTAAACGGGACAAACATAATAAGCCACTAGTGGATGGTGGCGCATGAAATTAAAGAAGACAACTTAATTAACATTAAATTTCGTAATGTACATTTTCTTATGTCATATTAGAAGCATAGTAACGCATAAAATTAATGCATAACATGTGTGATATTGTTGGCACAATTTTATTTATGACCTGCACGGGTCTGACATTTTATCAAAATATAATTATTTAATAATTTTTATTTACCTTTTGTCTAGTATCATTACTATGCTATTTAAAAAGTTTATGAATTTGAAGGAACACAATATTCTCTTAATTAAAATTAGAGAGATTTAGAATTTAGAAACGATCATTACCATATTTTATATAAAGCAGGTTACTACTTTTTAAAAGAAACCAATTGTAAATATATATATGTATATTAATATACCATTTTGTAAATATATATACATTTTTAATAAAATAAAACATTCATACTTTATTTAAACTGTACCTATTTAAACGTCACACTATATATCAATGTTACGAAAAAAGATCAGTATTCTAATCATTACGAATGTTTATTCGATAACGATTGATTTTTTATTTTCCCTTTTCTACGTATTATGAAAATTGATCACCAGCTGCTAGATATCAAATTTTTCATTTCTTTCTTTATCTCTCTTCTGCCTAAGTGCAAACTTCGTTACAAATATCAAAAGATCGATATAGAATCACATATTTCAATCGATTTGAACAGCAAACGAAAAGAAAAAGGGTATAAAACGATTATTCCAAAATCAATCTGATTCAATCTCGAAAGATTTTACCAAGCCCGTTCATCTGTACGGAATACCAAAATATTAAAATCACCAACCGCCGATCTCCCGTCACAACAAGTATCAGTGAAACAAACATCATTTATATCAAGAATAAAAAGTTATCGACATCTCGTTACGAGAAAATTCCTCGCTCTCCCTCCGTGTTGGAGGAGAAACTTCCTTCGACTATCGTTAGAAATTCCTTATCATCGAACCCAGCAACGGATTTCCATGTTCCAGCGACATTTTCGCGATTCTTCAACCTGGACCAAAGGCCGAAAGATCCGGCGATTATCTCGACTCCGCCGCCTATAATTAAACAAACCGCGATTGGATTCGGCGGCATGGTTGACGATAAATCCCGATTCACTGACAAATGTCATGGAATCCTATGGATTTCTGGAGGGCGAGGGGGAGTTTGTCGAGACCGAGGACAGTGGCTCCGATGTCGATCCGCAATATCATCGTACTACCGTTTGTCTGGCCTTTTCCAACGGGGTCGGGGGTCAGGTCTTCGGAACATAATCGTGCACAGAGCAGTCAGTAGCACCGTGGATTCTCGTATACGCGATCACTTATATAATTACCAGTGAAACTCGTCGATTTCCAGCGTCACCTATCCACTTCCGGTTCTGGCTGGTCGCTGAAAGGAAACTCGAAGGTTGCAAGGGATCATGACCGCGATCAAACTTTTCGATATCCTCGGCATCTCGTTGCTGCTGCACTTGTGCTTCAGCCTGCTGCTGTTGCTTGTTTTGGTACCGTTCGCCTTGTTCGTTTATCCGGGTAATTATCCTCGAACAATGGTTCCTTCGATTGTGAATGGTTGGCGCTTGTATTCGTTGGTTCGACGAATAGTGATTAACAATGGAAATTCTTAAATTGTATAGTAGAACAGTGATGATTTTCACATTGATTTGGTATCGATATCAATTAACACAACGATTGCCATTTGTCACCGGTGTACAGGTGGGTCGAAATGCGAAAAAGAAAGAAAACGCGACAAATGATCAAAAATCAAACTGTACAACGAATGAAGAATATTTCAATATATTATGAAATGAATTTTTTACATTAAAAATTTATAATGTAAAATTTGTTCGAATGGAAAATTACATACGAAATTAGATGGGTAATCCAGGTGTTAAAATGAGTAATATTTCGAGTCATTCGTGTTTTGTTAACAATATTAAAAAGGAAGAAAGAAAAATTTACAGCAAATATTCAGTTATTTTCATTAACATTTTTTTTTCTTGTTATTCTTCTTACTTTAAATTGTGTAACATTTCTGGTGAACTAGTGCAAAGTTTTCCATTTTTTTCCCCCGAAAAAAGTGTCACCTTTGCATTTTATTCTAATGAGAATTAAATAGTAAACGGCACGGTTAGCAGTTAACATTCATAGAACAATTAACGTGTTATTGTAAATGAGCGTTTCTCTGATGTTTTATTCATGCGGCTGATTTATACGAGTAGAAAGGTTGACGGTGCATTATCTATTAATTTGCATCTAATCAGATGATTCATTTCAATGTAA